GTGTGTGTGTGTGTGTGTGTGTGTGTGTGTGTGTGTGTGTGTGTGTGTGTGTGTGTGTGTGTGTGTGTGTGTGTGTGTGTGATGATGTGTGTGAAAACACATAAAGGACATCCTCGGGACAGAGACTGTGCACCAAATCGACACAATACTTTCAGGAGGAAAGACTCATCTGAGGCCATACTCACACTACAACTTTTTTACATATTTTTAGGACGGAATTGCAGCCAGATACATACAGGTATGGCCGTGAACGCAGTCAGATACATTTGGGATACTGCTAGTGTGAGTACGCCCTGAGTGAGTCAAGTCGACAGACAATCCTTAAAGTAGCATTGCAGATCCACTTGACGTAAAAAAGGCAAAAAGAAATAATACAAGTGCAAAACCAGAAGGTAGACAAATGACAAAAGGCAGCGCAGCATGAAAGACTGTGAAGAAAAGGACATAGGATGGAGAGAACGGGGGAGGTGGGTGGGCAGACAAATGCACAACGCCAGCCAACGAAAAGGCAGGCCAAAGAACAACAGGCAAACAAAAAGAGAAAGGACCATGTGGCGTTGGCGGGGGGTAGGGAGAGGTGCAGTGACTGGCCATTGCTCGGCGCTAGCAGCGTCGATTTCCCCCATCGGCAATGCCTGCCCACCCCTCATCACCGTGACGAGGGACTGGTACAGCCTTGCTCTTGCACCACTGCTGTGGTGCCAACCTACCCTGTGGGCTAGGGAGAGATCCGGGTTGGTTGGTGTTCCCCCCTACTATACATAGACTAGGGCGAGGATGAGATAGATGAGTACTGGCAAGAAGATGAGATGGAAAGAAGGGGGGGAAAAAGTGAAAAAAAAAACTGATGATATATAATATATTTTTAAAACAAAAAGAGAAAGGACCAAAAAACACAAAGCGAAAAAAAGAAAACCTGATGACAGATTGGCCCAAGTGGGCTAGCTCAGTTGGTTGAGCACGTAAGTGGTATTCAGGAGGTCGTGGGTTCTATTCCCCGTCGTCCATTCGCCCCCTGGCTGGGTTCGATTCGATTTCCAGTTCGTATCGTTCCAGAGCAGGAAGGTAGGTAGTGGGAGGCATAGTGAGAAAAGAATATAGGTTAAAAGAAAAAGAAAAAAAAACATTGATGATAGATTGTTTTGTCGGAGTTGCACTGACTCATCAGGAGGCTGAACCCTCGACAATCTGCAGAATCGATCTCCGTACTGATGGTTTGGGTCATGAACCGCTTGACCCATGTTTGTTGAAGGCAGACTGTCCACAAGCAGGACACAGCAGCAGGGCAACAACTCAGCAAAGCACCAGGCAACGCTGCCAGAGCAACCCGACTGCACAACGCCAAAAACGACTGCAAGGAACGACACGGCAAGTGGACGAGCAGCAGGGCAACAGCGCGGTGATTCCGGTGAAGCACAAGGCAGCACCAAAACAGCACACAAGCAAGGAACGCGGAGCACGGCACACAGATAGGCAAGCGGCCTCAGACAAGCAGCAGGGCAGCAGCACGGTGAAGCACAAGGCAGCACCATCACAGCAGCCACACTACATGGCACACAAGCAAAGAACATGGAAGGAACAACACGCGGATGGGCAGCAAGGTAGCAGCCCAGCGAAGCACAGGCCAACACTAACACCGCAACCACACCACACATGCAACACAACAGCCCTGCAAAGGACTACATGCAACACAAGAAGGACGGGCAGCAAGGCAGCGGCGCAGCACAGACAAGGCCGTCTACTCATCCAACACGGAGCAAAGTGGCACACAATGCCACACATCACCTACTCACATCACGATTGAACCCCCAGACTGTTGGTTTCCACCACCTGCTGAGCCAGGAAGTCACCCAGACGAACATCCGTCATCACCGACAGGCAAAACAGACATCCCAAACCGAGCAGCCCCCCTAAGATTGCTGTAGGCGCTCCAAACAACGGACCACCTACTATTTAGCACTTCTTGAGGGTGCTCAGTCCAACAGAGAATCTAAGAAAAAAATTGGGGGAAGGAGAAAAAACAAGAAAACAGACAGACATACACAAA